AGGCAGTCTCTCAATCAAAGTCAGTTGAAATGTGTCCTGAAGAAGGCTGAGTCTATCTGTGGTCATTAGGTGGTGCTGTTGGAAAAGGAAAAGATGAATCCTCAGTAGCTTTCAAAGGAGAACAGGTAAGCTATGAGGCAGGCCTGGAAAGAGGGGAAATATGGAAGCTATAGTTGAGGAGGCTCTGGCAGCCTGCCTACATCATTCTGTAGCTGGCTCTAGGTGTAAAGCAGGTGCTTTTTTTTTTGTTCTCTCTCTCTCTCTCTCTCTCTCTCTCTCTCTCTCTCTCTCTCTCTCTCTCTCTCTCTCTCTTTATGGTGAGAGAGAAAGAAGGGTATTAGCAGAAATGTCCAGACTAGATGGCAATGGGGATGTAAGGACAAGGTGTATCCCCCAGTACACCAGCTGTCTGGGTCAGGACCTGCTGACTTGTGTTTATATACTGATAACTTGAATAACTAGATCACCTGCCTGCTGATCTAGTTCCCCATGCAAGCACAGTGAAAGGGCTTATGAAGGGGACAGGTACTTGACATCAATGCTTCAGGTTTCCAGAAAGGTCTCCTGGATTGTAAATTGCTCCAATATGGATAACCTTGCTTGCTTTCCTTCTGTGCTTCTGCAACACCAAACGTCACATCTTTGTGTGCAGGTACACTACGAGGGAGAACAATGCCTCAGGTTGTCCAGAACTGGGTGGGTTCCCAGGATGCAGAATCTTCAGTGTGAAAATTTGGAAATTCCTAGATAAATCAAGATGAGTTGATCACTTCACCAGGAATGATGAAGGGGGATCCCAGAGGATCTTTGTCTCTGCCTCGGGGGTTGTGCTGGTGGACCAACTATGAGGATATCTTGGACCTCAGTTGCCTGGTCCTATGAAGTCAGGTAGAGTATAGCAAGTTTCAGGAGACATCTGGGGCTCTTTGGCTGTCAAGATACGTGTTGTTCACACCCAGGCAGCCACAAAGCATTGGGGGATCATGGAACAGATCCCTGGGTCCAGCATAGGACCTTGCCCTTCCCTATTTCCTCTGCCTTGCTAAAAACCATTAGATCACATTCCTTAAGCTAGCTATCAAGGTCCATTTTCTTATTTGGCCACTTTCTCCTCCTGAGTTTGACGGCCAAGGCCCAGCTATCAAAGTATTGAAGTCCAGCAACCAAAAGCCTCCTTTGGCTCACCTAATTAATATTCCCAATCAAAACAAACTACTCATCCACTGGGTTTCCCCTTCACCTTTATAAACTGTCATTTGCCTATGTGCCATGTCTGTCTCCTCTCTATCCAGAGGCAGTTCTTTGTCTCTTGGGACAAATATCCCTTCCCCTTCTCCCTCATCCTCTAGCTCCTGTCTTTGTCTCTTATCCCCTGCCCTTTGTCTCTCTGGGTCATATAAATCTGCTTTGTCCTGAGAACTTGGTCTTGGGGTGTCTTGTGCTGAATACCCATCCCTTCACTGAGAAAATGAGCCTGGCATCATGGAGGGGGTCTCATAGACTAGTAGACACAGGAGTGGGGGAAACTGAGTCAGATAGAGGCAAGTGCAGGTATAAAGGAGGCCATGAAGGATTGTCAGGCAAAAAAACAGGTGGGCCACTTGGTGTTGCTGGAGGGCTCCTCTCCAGGTTCCACCAAGCCCCGCAGTCCCACAATCCACTCATAAAATAATCACTCAGACGCTTATATTACTTATAAACTGTATGGCCATGACAGGCTTCTTGCTAACTGTTCTTATATCTTAAATTAACCCATTTCTATAAATCTATACCTTGCCACGTGGCTGGTGGCTTACCGGCGTCTTTACATGTTGCTTGTCCTGGCAGTGGCTGCAGTGTCTTTCTCTCCTTCCTGTTTCCCCAATTCTCCTCTCTCCTTGTCCCGCCTATACTTCCTGCCTGGTCACTGGCCATCAGTGTTTTATTTATATCGAGTGATATCCACAGCAACTTGGCACAAGGAGGAGAGAAATCTGGATGACAAAACCATAAGGCTGTAAGAGGAGGAGATGAGGAAAACAACCCAGCTGGGAGATTGGATTTGGGAAGTAGTGAAGAACTGCTACAGTGTGCTTAGGACTGACATCTTCTTGTCTCCTAAAACACATCCCAGACCTCCAAATATGAGTAAACTACTTCCTATAATTTACTTGTCCTTATTTTTGGCTTTAAGTTTGGCATCACATGTTTTGTTGGTCCCCAGGAGCCTAGAGTCTCAGAAAGCCACCAAAGAGTGTTCTAGAAGTTAGTGGCCTTCTTGCCTCTTCGGCTCAGGGGTCAGAGCTTTCAGTGTGAAAATTATGTGATCTCTTATTTCTAGGGAGAACCCTTGTGTCAGGTCCTAGTTCTGCATAGACAGGCTAACATAGGGACACTGGGAAGGCTTGGCTGTCACCTGCTGTCTTGTACATTTCCGGGGGCACAATGCATCCACAGCATCTCCAGCAGCTCCTGCTTCTTCGATATGAATCTAGTCATAAGTACGTTTTAGAACAGACCCACGGTTCATAGCTTCTGCCTGTGAACCCCAACTTTTGTCCTTTGCTACTTCATAGAAATTTCATTCTTCTCTCTTAAAAGCACTTAAAATATTTTAGGACAACTGTCCTGACTCCTACACTATTTCCTTCCTTCCTTCCTTCCTTCCTTCCTTCCTTCCTTCCTTCCTTCCTTCCTTCCTTCCTTCCTTC